AGGAAAGAATGCCCAATGGAAAAAAGACAGTCTCTTCAACAAATGGTATTGGGAAAATTGGACAGCCACATGTAGAAAAATGAAACTAGACCATTTTCTTACACCACACATAAAAATAGACTCAAAATGGATGAAGGACCTCATTGTGAGAAAGGGATCCATCCAAATCCTTGAGAAGAACACAGACAACAACCTCTTCAATCTCAGCTGCAGCAACTTCTTCCTAGAAACATCACCCAAGGCAAGGGAAGCAGGGCAAAAATCAACTATTGGGACTTCATCAAGATCAAAAGCTTTTGCACAGTCAAGGAAACAATCGACAAAACTAAAAGACAACCAACAGAATGGGAGATATTTGATATATCTACTCTGTGCTTACTGAGTTATCACAACAGCAAATATTTGAGATATTTGTAAATGATGTATCAGATAAAGGGCTAGTATCCAAAAATCTATAAATAACTTATCAAACTCAACACCCAATGAACAAGTAATCTAATCAGGAAATGGGCAGAAAACATTAACAGACATTTCTGCAAAGAAGACATCCAACTGGCCAACAGACACATGAAAAAAATCCTCAACATCACTTGGCATCAGGGAAATACAAATCAAAACCACCATGAGATATCACCTCACACCAGTCAGAATGGCTAAAATTAACAAGTCAGGAAACAACAGATGTTGGCAAGAATGTGGAGAAAGGGGAACCCTCCTACATTGTTGATGGGAATGCAAGCTGGTGCAGCCACTCTGGAAAACAGCATGAAGGTTCCTCAAAAAAGTTGAAAATAGAGCTGACCTATGACCCACCAATAGCACTGCTGTGTGTTTACCCCAAAAATACAAATGTAGTGATACAAAGGGGCACATGCACGTGAATGTTTATAGCAGCAATGTCCATAATAGCCAAACTATGGAGTTTCACTGCTAGGAAATCAGCATGAAAAGTGGGTCCACAGACCCACTCCCCAGTGAAACAAGAAAAGCTGTGAAAATTAAAAAACAAAACAAAACAACAACAAAATCACATATCGTCTTCAGGAATTGTCCTAAGGGAGCACAGGAAACAAGAAACATTTATTTAAGAGAATCTACTACAACTTGGTAAATGACAGACTTGCTGTTTTTAACATGCTAGTCTAGTTTCTCATTCTAGGAATTATTCTAGTTTACTCCTCTTCCTTCAGTGTCCTCCCATCCTCCAGTATTCTCAGTTCTGTTGGCAATCTCTTGGATCTATCCATTTGTCTTCATATACACTTCCACAACCCTTATCCAATTCTTATTTCTTATAAAAAGTAGCATCCAGTCTTCTTTATCCCATTCTTTTCCTTTTCAACTCCCCACCCTTCGACACCCTGTTTTCCATACTGTAGCCAAAATGATCTTTAAAACACGTGTATCATATTCCTCTAGTGATCACCAATCAATGGCTTTCCAATGAAGCTATTTACTATCATTCTTTTGCCTCCAAATATACTGACTTCTTTTTGCTCCTCAAATACATGGAGATCTTTCTCACCTCAGTTCATTGAATTTGCTATTTGCTGACTGTGGGTATTATTCTTTTCTTACTTAGCTTTTCAAAAAAATTAGCTCTACTCATTCTTCAGATCTCAGCTCAAAGGTCATCTCCTCAGAGAGACTTCCCTTTAACTACATTTAGTGTCATCCTCTGCACTTACACTCAGATGTTACTATGGTACCTAGCTTATTTTCTTCACGTAATTTATTACAAAATTGAAATATCACTTGTTGCCAAGCCCATCAGAGGAGATTAAAAGCATGATGAAGTAAATACTATATTGTAAAGATATATCTATGCATTCTATGGATGTCTCTTAAATTACAATTATACTGATTATGACCCATTCGTTATTAAGCATATTATTTGTTTTCTAGAAATGGCCAGTTACAAATCCAGGGCACAGTATATGGCTTTCAGTCTTTGCAGGAAAAAGAGACCTTTGAAACAAATACCTTGTGCAAATGTTTGATCTGGATACCTGCCACCAAAGTAGTAGGTTCAGGCTCAAAATACTTGTTTGGAGTTTCCCCACAGTTTTTCATCTCTTCTTTTCTACTAATTTTTGGTGCACCAAACCAATAGGAGTGCTACAAAGAAAGCCAAAATGTAATTACTAGGATGAGCTTTCAGAAATGAGCATTTCATCTGAACACATCTATAATGAATAAAATGACTGACTTAGTAATCAAAATGTGCCTACAAAGAAAAGTCCAGGACCAGATATCATCACTGGTACCAAGCACTTAAACAAGAGTTAACAAAAATTGTTCTCTAAGCCTTTCAAAAATGTTAAGAGAAAGGAACACTTTCTAACTCATTCTATGAGCTCAGTATTACTTGAAAAGCAAACTCCAAAGTCAGACAAAGACTTCACAAGGAAAATAAACTACAGACCAATACCCCTTACTAATATAGATTTTAAAATCTTCAAAAAGTACTTGTAAACTAAATCTAATAGCATATCAAAAGGAATATTCATCATGGCAAAGTGGGATTTATCCTAGGAATTCAGAGTGGTTTAACATACAAAAACCAATCAATGAAATATATCACACTAATAGAACAAATGGAACATGATCATTTCAACTGATACAAATAAAGCCTCTGACAAAGTGTTTCATGATAAAAAAAAAAAACACTTGGAAAACTAGGAACAGTTTCTTGAAATTCATCAGGGAACTTATGAAAAAAGCCACAGCTTAGTCTTCAATAGTGAAAGACTTAAGCTTTTCCTCTAAAATCAGGAATAAGACAAGGGCCTGCTTTCATCCTTGCTATTCACAGAAATAAAAGATATCCAAACTGGAAAGAAAGAAGTAAAACTACCTATATTTGAAGATAATGTGATTCTACATACTGATGTGCCCAAAGAATCCTCTCCTATATACACTATTAGAGGTAATAAACAAATTCAGCAAAAAGGCAGGATACAAGATCAACATGTATACATCAGTTGTGAGCTATGAACAATACGAAAAGAAAATCCTATTCTAACAATTCTATTTATAATAGCATCCAAAAGAGTAAAATACTTAGGAACAAAGTTCCTAAACAAAGAGGTGAACGACTCATATACTGAAACTGTAACACCTCAATGAAAGAATTTAAAGACAATATAAATAGAAAGCTAAAAAAGAAGAAGAAAGTTCATGGACTGAAAGGCAATATTTTTCTGGTGGTGGTTGTGGGGGGGATGATTCCAAGATCATCACTGTGTGCTTTGCACTGATTCCCAGAGTTCCCTGCATCACAGGGCTTCAGGGGCCCATAGTGCTGACATGTTCTTTCCTGGCTGCTTTCCTTTCCTGTCTCATTTCCCCTCTTTCTGATCCTTCCAAATAAATTTCAAACCCTGTGAGAGACAGCATTTTTAATACAGCACTACTACTTAAAGCAATCAATAGATTCACTGTAATTCCTATAAATATTCTAATACAGAAGCTGATCTCAAGTTCTTATGGACTCCAGGACCTCCTAATAGCCAAAACAATCTTGATAAAGAAGAGAAAAATCTGGATGACATTTTCAGATTTTAAAACTTACTATAAAACTATAGTAATCAAACAGTGTGGTATTGACATAAGAATAGATGTATAGGCCAATGCAATAAACTTAAGTTATGCAAGAGTGAAACCATACATTTATGGTCAATTTGCAACAAGGGTGCTAAGACCATTCAATGGGGAAAAACAGTCTTTCCAAAGAACGGTATTGGGACAAAAGGATATCCACAGCCAAAAAATGAAGCTGAATCCCTATCTCATACTATATGAAAATCAACCCAAAATTGATCAGTGATCTAAATTTAACAGATAAAACCATACAATTCTTTTTTTAAAACCATCAAATTCTTAGAAGAAAACACAGGGGTAAATTTTGATGACTTTGGATTAGATATGACACAAAATTCACAACCAACAAAAATTTTTTAATTGGTTTTGAATCAAAGTTAAAAATTATTGTGCATGAAAGAGTACTACAAAGAGAATGAAAAGATAACCCAGAGAATGGAATAAAATATTTGTAAATCATGTATCTGATAAGGCTCTACTGTACAGAATATATATTAAAAAAAAGTCACAGAGTTTGAATAGACATTTCTGTAAGTAACATCCAATGGCCAAGAAGCAAGCCCATGAAAATATCTCAACATGATTAATTATTAGGGAAATGCATATCAAAACCATGAGACCACTTTATACCCACAAGGATGGCCATAATAAAGGAAAAAGAATAAAAAAGGGTTTTGAGGCTGTGGAGAAATTATAACCCTGGTACATTGCTTGTGGGAATGTACAAATGGTGCAGTCACTGCAGAAAACAGTTTAGTGATTACTGAAAACATGAAAACAGAATTATCCTAAGTACTAGCAATTCTACTCCAAGGTATATTCCCAAAAGAACTGAAACAGGTACACAAGCAAATATTTATAGATAAATATTCCTAGCAGCACTATTCAAACAGCCAAAAGATGTCCTACATTTCTAACTATAGGTTGATAAAGGAATTGTCCTATATACTTACAATGGAATGTTATTCAGTAATCAAAAAGAATGAAGTGCTGATACATATTCATGGATAAACTTCAAAAGCATGTTAAGTGAAAGAAGCTGAATAGTCACATATTATATGATTTTATTTATACAAGACATCCAGAATAGTAAGTCCATAGAAAAAGAAAGCTGATTAGTGGTTGTTAGGGGCTTTGGGATAGGGAAAAATGGGATGTGACTTCTTAATGGGTATAAGGCTTTATTTTTTGGGGTGATAAATATTTTGGAACTAGGTATGTGCAAGTACATTGTAAATGTACTAACTTCCACTGTTTTGTTCCACTTCAAAATAGTTAATTTTAACATATGAATTTCATTGGAATTAAAAATTTTAATGTGAAAAAAGAAATGAAGTACTCTAAGAACTTAAAAAAAAACACTGGCTTGGTTTACTCTGTGGCTACTGCATACTTCAAGGGATTGAACTTTGCAGCAAAATTGTGTATGATTTATATCTCTAGGATTTAGAAGTAAAAATTGTTTTGAAATGTTAGTGTTCAGGAAGAAGAGACAAAATGGAATTATTCAACAATGAAGTCATAGCCAATGCATTTTATCACACTCAGAATACTTTCTTTGTACTGTATATTATTCAGGAAATAATGTGGAGGGCAAGATGCAGAAACTCTTCCACTCTAAGTAAACTGGTCTACTCCTTGAAAGTAAACAGGTGGTAAGGACAGAGATACGGGAAATACCCAATCCTCTACTTACTAGGATCTAAGAAATCATTGCATGTTATTTAGCTGGGAAAATCTTCTGCAGACTTTCAGGTTTCTTTAACCTTCAATCTAATTTACTATGTACCATGTAGCTGAAGAAGAGTTCTATTGCTCACAATTTTTAAATGTATGGGGATTCAGTGTCTTATCCACAGATATGCATTTGCATATGTGGAAGGCTTTAAGAGATCAAGAAATAGCTAGCATTTTCCTATGGCTGGCATGCACAGGAAAATTATTCTGCATATGACCTTTTGATTTGCCTATAAATATGAAAAGAAATAGGCTCAAAGGGACTATGACTTTTTATAATAACAACAGCATTAGTACTCACCATAAGAAAAAAGTACCATGGTTGGGGCACACCATACTGCCCTGGAAAGACAGTTTCTATATACCAGGTCACAAGGCCATACAAGAAAGCATCAAGTAAAAGCATTAACAAAATATAGCCAAACATGAGATTATCCTCAAGGTGGACTTGTGTCCAAATATTATTCCATCTAATACCAATTTCTGAAATAAAAAGGAGATACCATGGATGACAGCTCTGTGAAACAGCAAAGAAAAAAGTTGATACTCTAAATCCTGTCACTGTGAATTATCTATATGTTAATACCCTTATTATTTAAGTCATCTAAGAAAATGATAGAATATGTAATAATACTGGGTTCTTCTGACCTCGATTTAGAATCTACAAAAATAAATAGGAATGACTGAGACAAGGTCAATGAATGAAACAATAATAACAAAAACGGCAAGAAAAAAGCAAGTCTATTAGATCCTATTTTTCTATCCCTTCATACTAAATTCACATTTAAACTACCATCAGGGTACACAAATCTGGAAAAATATTCAACAGCACTAGAGATGGATGCTGACTACACTACAAAGCAGAAGAAAAAGAGATTTTGCTTAAATATAGTTCTGGGGCACCTGGGTAGCTCAGTTGGTTAAGTGTCCAAATCTCGATTTTGGCTCAGGTCATGATGTCAGGGTCATAAGATCCAGCCCTGCACTGGGCTCCATGCTGGGTGTGGAGCTTGCTTGATTCTCTCTCTCCCTCTCCCTCTGCTCTTCCTCCCCCACTCACACACATGGCACATACAACTCTCTCTAAATCAATCAATAAATAAAGTTCTGATAGAAGAGAAAAAGAAAGTCATTTAAAAGTTATCCTTTGTTCTATTTCTTCTATTTTTGGACAAAGTATAGTATAACTGAAAAAGCATGGGGGCTTGCAGTGAACTCCTAATTCAAAGACATTTCATGAATATGGTCAGTGAAACTTGTCCTTTCTTTCAGCTTCAGCCTCCCTTTCCTATATATCAATACCATCAGAATATTCATTAGCGCTGTGTATTTGAAAAAGCTATAAAAAAGTAATAGTTTAAGAAAAAGTATTTAGTAGAGTTAAAAATTATCAAAATGAAAGCCATTTTGAGAGACAGTGAACAGCAAATTAGAACCAACAACAACAAAGGTAGAATGCAATTTTAGGAAGTCTGCTGTACCTTGAGAAATCCTCCCAGCCAGAACACAACAGGAGTTTGTGAAAGAGAAAATATAGAAAACAATAACTAAATAAAATAAACTAATCCAATAAAAAATAATTCAATTAGAAAACCAAAAAGTGGGTGCCTGGGTGGCTCAGTTGGTTAAGCGCCTGCCTTCGGCTCAGGTCATGATCCTGGAGTCCTGTATCGAGTCCCACATTCGGCTCCCAGCTCTATGGGGAGTCTGCTTCTCCCTCTGACCCTCTCCCCCTCATGCTCTCACTCTCTTTCTCTCTCTCTCTCAAATAAATAAGTAAAAATCTTTAAAAAAAACTAATTAGAAAACCAAAAAGTATACATCCTGTTTTAGACTAAGCCAATGAAAATCCCACATCTAAATAAATACCAGTGAAATTTTAATGTTTCAGGTATAAAGAAAGAAAAATACAAGTATCCATACAGAAATTATATGTATATTCTTCTGACTGGCTGTTCATTGGGAGTAGGTTTTTGTTCACAGGTGAAAAAATTAAGTCCTTAATCATCTTCATTAATGAATAAATGTAATGAAATTCCAACTAAATCCCGGTAAGAGTTTTCACAGATTTTGATAAAGTGATTCTCAAAGTGACATGAATAAAAAACAAGGTCTGGGGATACAAACATATTAAGACTTGTTATAAAGCTATGAGAAAACCATTGTAGTGCTGACACAAAAGTAGAATAAAAGAGATCAAAAGAATGGAAAAAAATCACCAGAAAGATACATGCATATGTGGAAACTTGACATAAAATAAAGGTGGAATTTGAAACCAGTAGAGATCAACAAATTATCCAATAAATGATAGTAATAGCTTGATTTTCATATGGAAAATAAAATTAAGTTCTTAGCTCAAACCGGCAGAAGTATCTACTCTGCGCTTACTGAGTTATCACAACAGCAATATCAATCAAAGCTAAGCTATGAATATCTTATAAAATAGTATTTTTATATTGAAAAAATTATTTACATTAGTATGCATACTGTTTGAGCAAATATATGTGTATTGTTATGCTAATAGCAAAAAACTGGAAACCACTTAAATATACATTGCTAGAGAACTAATCAATTATAGTACGTCACAATGGATGGAATATTAAACGACTGTGTAAAAAGTTAGTATTTCTCTATGTGAGAAGAGGTCTAACAGATTATTAAGTTAAATAAAGCAAGTAGCAAAACAGGCTTAAAACTACTTTATTTGAGAGTATAACTGGAGGCTTATTGTGGAGTAATGGGGAACTTCTAATTTTTCACAACTCTGATTTTTCTTTTTTTAGCTCACGTAACTGTTTTTACAATAAACAAACAAATCTAGGGATAAATAATTTGTATAGGATTTTCTTACTTTCTTACCCACTGTCCCACCTATGTTGCCTCAATTCTACCTTTCAAGGAATCAAACAGCAAAGGCAAAATTTGCAGGGCAAACACATACGTCTTACTTCCAACTTGAGCAGATGACTAATCCCCAGTGCCAATGCAACATTTGAGCTGAGACAGGCAGCCACCTTCTTGGTAAGGGTCATCTGTCCGTAGAATTGAATAATGGTATTAAATGGAAAGAAACTGGCAAAATATAGGAGACTTCCAGCAGAAGCAGCCAAATGGACTGAAAATAAGGAAATTATAAGGTCACTCTAAAGCAATATGCAAAATAATGACTTTTTCTACTACATTACAGAGAAAAGAATGTAAGCTCTATGAGGGAAGAGTATTTGTCTTTCTTTTTCATCCTTGTATCAGCATCAGACTCACAGTACATACTCCCTAAATATGTGTTAAATGAATTAATAGTTTGTGTACAGGATATTTATAGTCATTTAAATGAAGATTTATTCATGAGCACTGGGCTTGAGAAATTATAAATGCACACAATCAGTATTAATAATTATTAATAACTGCTAGAGTTTCCAGAGTCTTAAGTACTGGGTAGAATAAAAAGCTCTGTATGAAGTTTTAAACATATGCTTCCAAAAAAAAAAAAAAGAAAAAAAAAGAAAGAAAGAAAAAAATAAACATATGCTTCCAATCTCAATCACGATGCCCCAAATAAAGAATAGCTGAAGAGGGGTGCCTGGGTGGCTCAGTGGGTTAAAGCCTCTGCCTTTGGCTCGGGTCATGATCCCAGGGTCCTGGGATTGAGCCCCGCATCGGGCTCTCTGCTCAGCAGGGGGCCTGCTTCCTCCTCTCTCTCTGCCTGCCTCTCTGCCTACTTGTGATCTCTGTCTGTCAAATAAATAACTAAAATCTTAAAAAAAAAAAGAATAGCTGAATTGCTAACTACTGAGAGTTGAATATGGTTAGGTCCATAAGCATTGGATCCTATAGGCTCAAAAAAGAATTCTTACTAAGATTATCATTGGGATGGGGGCGCCTGGGTGGCTCAGTGAGTTAAGCCTCTGCCTTCCACTCAGGTCATGATCTCAGGGTTCTGGGATCGAGTCCCGCATTGGGCTCTCTGTTTGGCAGGGAGCCTGCTTCCTCCTCTCCCTCTCTCTCTGCCTGCCTCTCTGCCTGCTTGTGATCTCTCTCTGTCAAATAAATAAAATCTTAAAAAAAAAAAAGATTATCATTGAGACGACATAAAATCAACATTAAAGAAGAAAGTAAAAACACCCAAATCATCATCAACTAATCTTCAACAAAGCAGGAAAGAATATCCAATGGAAAAAAGACACTCTCTTCCACAAATGGTGTTGGGCAAACTGGACAGCCACATGCAGAAGAATGAAACTGGACCACTTTCTCAAATCATATACAAAAATAAATTCAGAATGGATCAAAGACCTCAAAGTGAGACAGGAAACCATTGAAATCCTAGAGGAGAACACAGGCAGCAACCTCTTTGACTTAGGCCATATCAACTTCTTGCAAGACACATCGTTGGAGAAAAGGGAAACAAAAGCAAAAATGAACTCATAGGACTACTGCATGTTGAAGAAACAAAACTAAAACAACCTATGGAATGAGAAAAGATATTTGCAAACAACATATCTGATAAAGAGTTAGTATCTAAAATCTATAAAGAAATTATCAAATCCAACACCTGAAAAACAAATAATCCAGTTAAGAAATGGGCAGAAGACACAAATAGACATTTTTCCAAAGAAGACATCCAGATGGCTTACAGATACATGAAAAGATGCCCAGCATCACTCAGGATCAGGGAAATACAAATCAAAACCATGATGAGAAACCACCTCAGACCTAGCAGAATGGCTAAAATTAACGGCACAAGAAACAACAGATGTTGGCAAGGATATAGAGAAAGAGGAAGATGGGATTTTATCAAGATCAAAAGCTTTTGCACAGCAAAGGAAACAGTTAACAAAACCAAAAGACAACTGACAGAATGGGAGAAGATATTTGCAAACGACATATCAGATAAAGGGCTAGTGTCCA